CCTTTGCCCTGTCCATTTACAAAAATCATCAACAATATCCTTCACTTCCTTTGCAATTTCCTTAGAGTCATGTGAGAAGATAATAACGTCATCGGCATATAAGAGTTGAGTAATTCTAGGTCCTTTAGGAGAGATTTGAATACCAATATTAAGACCCCTTTTATAAATGGAATTAGACATCAATTGAGAACACATGATGTAAAGATAAGGGGATAATGGGCACCCTTGTCGGAAATCACTATGAGCCATGATCCATTTGGAAATCCTCCCATTTATGATAATAGAGAACCTCACATCAATAATGCATTCCATAATAAGATTAGCATAACCAGAAGGGAAGCCATACCATTTGAGGACATTATCAAGAGTAGGCCACCCCAAACTGTCGTATGCTTGCTCCATATCAAGCTTCAAAGCCATCATCCCCTTCCTATTTCTGAAAACTTTGAACTTGTGAAAAATCTCCTGAGCCAAGAGACAATGCTCAGAGATAGATCTCCTAGGGATAAACGCCATTTGTTCCTCAGTAATTAGCTTGGGCATACACATCTTCAATCTATTAACTAGCATTGTAGCTACAACCTTGTAATTGGTTTGACAAAGGCTAATAGGACGATAGTTGGAAGGGAGCAAGTGATTCTTTACTTTAGCAATCAATACTATTAAAGTATCTTTCCAATCCTTCCTCATACAACCATTAGTAAGAAAACTATTGATAGCATTCCAAGATAATGAAGCTTTTTTAACATTTGCTGATGATGATGATTCCCAAGAAGAGTAGATTAAATTCATATTTGATCTTTTAAAAAAAGATTGTAATATTTGAATTATGAGATATTTGGATGTTACTTAGTCGAACTTATATATGTTATGGTTGTCTTTTATTATTATGATAATTTGTCTTCCATTTTTAATAATATTTCATATTCATGCTTATTATTTAATATTTTTTATATAGCTTGCGCCATATTCAAAATAGCGCGCGCCGCGCCGTGCGCTATGCGCCATGGCTCCAAATGGACCTTTGCGCCATGGTGCGCCATTCGCCGTTAACATGTATGTAGTATTGCCATTCCTCATAACCGTTGCAAAATTATGAAACAATTTGGAATTATAATCACCTTCCTCAAGCCACCTATCTTTAGCTCTTTGGTTCCACCATGTTGACAGCCTCTTCAAGGTTACATTAAGTTCATGTATTTTACTTCTTAGTAAAATAAGGTCTTGAGCTGACCAATCATTACCCATAGCTTTCTTAAGTTGAAGCTCCATAATATCCATCTTCAGCTTTTCCTTAAGTTCATTTAGATCTTTGCATTTGCTTTTACTCCAAAAAAAGAGAGCTTTCAAAGTTCTATTAATCTTCCTTTGAAGAACCATACCTTCCTCACCAATATCATTATTCATCCTAGAGTGATATACAATACTTCTACCAGCTGGATACATCCTCCAAGTATCTTCAAATCTAATGATTCTAGACTTTACACGCTCCTTGTCATTCACCTTGAAGGCAATAGGACTATGGTCTGAAGCCACCCTAGCAAGATGCCTAGTAGCAGTCGAACGAAGCAATTGAAGAGCAGTAGAATTCAGCAGACATCTGTCCAGCCTCTCCCAAATCCTGGATGTCCCTTCCTTATTATTACACCAAGTAAACCTTGGTCCAATAATCCCCACGTCATGAAAATCACAACTAGTCATAAAACCCTTCATATCTCTAGGTCCTTTGGTGAAAAGGAACCTTTTACCACCTCTTTTCTCTTCTTTGTTAAGCACACAATTGAAATCTCCTCCAATGATAGAGGGATTAGAACTCACCATACATTTATCCAACAAGCTCCAAAGATTTTCACGCTCCTTGCAACATCTACTACCATAAACAGTAGCAATCATCCATATCCCCATACTAGGGATAGATAAATCTCCCACAATCACCTGAGAAGAAGTATCTGTAATCACAAAATTCCCAATCTTCATATTCCATAACACTAAGATGCCACCAAAAAGGCCCACCTCAGGAAAATGATAATAATCCCAATCCTTACCGATTAGAACATCAACATCCTTCCTATTGATATTACTCATCTTAGTCTCCATAAGGCCAATGAAAAAAATATCATGATCCTTAACCACCTCTTTTAAATACAGAGTAGCTTCCTTCTTCCTAGCCCCTCTGCAATTCCAAAATAAAAGTGAAGACATTAAGCAAAAGAAGGGGAACTCACCCCAATTAGGGACAACATTCGTCCATCTCTTTACTTTTTCTTCACTTCTTGATTAACCGGCCCCAAAGATTTCAGCTCCTTGGCAAGTCTGACTCTAGCAGAACCATTCATACTGGGCTTAACATCATTCACAGCATCAACATTCATACCTTCCTTTCCCTTATTCAGCATCTTAACAGAATCTTCCTGCTCCCCAAGACAATCTGCAACATTATCTTCATTTAAAACCGCAAATGAATTATTCAGCCAAATTCTTGTTTTACTGCTTTCAAATGTTACTCCTCTGTTTGCACTAATCCCTAGAACTGAATTCATTTTCTTTATCTGCTCATCAGTTACTTTTCCATCAGCATCATGCTCTTGCAATACATTGTTCTGATCAGTCTTACCAAGTTATCATTCACATTGATCTTACTAGAATTGTTATTTCTATACCCATCTCCTCCTTTAAAAGCCCGTCTGTTCTTAAACTGGACATAAATCCAAGGCCCATATTCAGCCTTGATCACTGCTGTTTTAGCTTCTCCGGTCGTTTTCCTTACTTCACCTGTAACTGCTTCAGTATTATCCATTGCCTGATTTTTGATACCCAGTACCACCTTCTCAGGGCATGCTTTCATTTCATGCCCCGCTCGGCCGCAATGATAACAAAGCAAATTGATATTCTCATACTCAACCCTTTGGAAGAATCTGCCTGCAAGACCATCAATCCATACACCATTCGACCCCGGCCTCCCCGCTCACTTTTCTTTTTATTCGGCGAGGGAGTTTTAACTGAATATGTTCCGAGGTAAATTTTGAAAGGCAGATGGGTTTGTAGATAGACACTACCC